CACAACCCCAAATTCTTTCTTATATCACAGTTCCAAGTGTTTTCGAAAGAACCGCGTAGCTCTAGAACAGAGTTGGATGGAAATGCTAACATGAAGCTTTAGTGTGATAATTTATTAGCTAGATAATGATCTTTAGAAGAGGGTAGGTGGATAGTTCCGTTAGAGTACGGCAGTATGAAAATTGAATAGAAGTTGAAAATGAGCGAAGGGGCATTAATGCGACAGTATAAAGTAAAACGCACATCTTTTGCCTAACATGTACGATGTACGCGGAGACTTGAAGTATGTCTTGATTCAAAGGCACTTTTACAGCTGTTTCGGATCTTCCTGAGTACGCTCCAATGGCCATCAGGGTCCGTGTTTATGTCATGAACCCAAATTCTTTCTTATATCAGTTCTTGCCCCGTCACGTGGGTAGATCACCTTTTCGTGGTACGTTACGGGATGTAAGATCTACCACCGATTCCTAGTCCTGACTACTTCAAACTAGGGGAACAGGATTTTTCAGTAATCCAAGGAACACATCTTAGTCCTTGTTACTTTTTATGCCTTGTTGATAGTGACAAGACTCGGCTTTGTCTACCGAGGATGATCTTGAAACAAGGAAAAAAAAATGAGTTAGTTGTCTTCATCTATGTGATTCCTAATCTTCTATTCGTTGTTCCCTAGTTTGAAGTGGTCGGTGTCATACCTTAATTTTGTTGCTAAGGAATCCAATTTTGACTGACAAAGGAGCGCGCCTTTGGAGGGTGTTTCAACACTCCGAATGGTATAAATAGCGGGACCTTTCAATTAGAGTCGGATCCTTGCGATAAATGCAAGAGTGGCAACTGTAAAAAAATCGAATACTTCATCATTTCTCAATAGACGACATGCACTAAACTAATGACACGGGATATACTACAATAGATCAATTTACTGGTCGCAGTAGTGTTAGGTCCCGAACAGAGGAAAAAAAATATATCAGTTCTTAATGTTTAAAAAAAAAACACGGAGCTCTGGGATCAGTTTCGGGGATCGACCAATTTTACAGATGTTCCGAATCTTCCGGAGGACCGTTCCGTTATCTGCAGGATCCATATATAGGAACCATGACTGTATTCTACTTAATTATGAACATTTGTGCCCAGTAATCTAATTTTTGGATCTTAGGCCACTTGCAAAACCCATAAAAACTCCTTTAAAAATTCTAGAAGTATCACAATTTATAAAAATCATCAAGAAATGGCTAATTTATGCCATTGCAAACTTGCCGTTACACGTTTTTCGGAGGCATCGTATTCGGATTGTTAACATGCTACCCCAATAGATCGCTATTCAAATGTTTATTTTTATCCACCATTGGTTGTCTCTTCTGGCGTTCGAGTAGCGGATCTATTGGACGGAGCAGGCGCAGACAACTGAGCCCCCAAACGGCTGCAACCTGTTCTTTTATCGATCTGTGTGCTGAAATTACCTGGGAATGTCTTTAAATGACCGTGGGGATGCAAAGAGAAAGTCGACGTAGAGAATCTGTCATTGTTACTTAGGACCGAGGGGCAATTCACTGCTCTCAAAAATGAATCGAAAATACGTGAATGAAAAAAATACACAAAAATTCATCATAACTCGTCATTACTCAAAAAAATGCAAAAAAATACAAAATTCGGAAAAAATACACAAATATTAGACGAATAATAAAAATACACGATAATTCGCCATTTGCACGAAAAATTCGAAATATGTACAATCAAAATGCTGAATTCGGACAAAATGCGTAAATTTATTATTTTATATTTTAATCCGAGATCGAATCACAAAACAATGCATTAATGAGTAGGATTTCACCCATTTTTAAGAAAAGTGCCTTAAATCGTTTATTAAATAAAAAAACATTAATGAGTAGTTGTGACCCAAATTTAAGTAACGAAGGCGTAACAGACTTGGTAACAGATGGTTATTTATGCGTAATGAGCGAGGTAAGGGGCTGTTCATGAACTATGGGGGGGGGGAGGGGTTAGTTGGCAATTATCCACGGCCCATACACATTTTTAATGTTTTGTATGGACAATTGTCAACGTACGTGGGTGGGGTGGCTCAAGAATCCCAAAAATCTGTCTACGTAACTAATGTCAAGCCCCTAATGAGTTTATGAGTTAAACCTATTTTCTTTAAATTGTGTGAAATTCTACTCATCAGTGGGTATTTCAAAGTTAGCGTGTGTTGTACATTTGTCAAACAAAACGTCAACATTGTGAGTTTGATCCGTTTGATTATCGGTTCGAGTGGTAAACATAAACACTGAATTGACAGAATACACTTATAACTGATTTTCAATACATTAATGCATAAAAATACACTTTTATTTTTCTAATACACAGAAAATTACATATATTCAAAAAGTGCAAAAGAATACATTAATACGCAAAATACACGTTTATTCGATAAAAAATACTTCAATACGTTCATCAATACGTTGGCCTGTATCGAAAATACACAAGTGAATCGCCCCTCGCTTAGGACCTAATGCAATGTTCAGCTTGGTATTTCATCGCAATGTTTCAGGGGAAACATGTCAGAAGGGTCGAAACGTAAACGATTACTTGGACCGTCGGTTTCTTACGAATGACTACATACACGGTAAGAAAAAAATACTCAAAATTAAGTTAAAACAAACTCAACGTTGGGTTCTATCATTTGAGGTGAGTGAATCAGAAAAGCGGCGTGGGTTAAAATTTACTCAACTATTGAGTAATAACCATTTAATTTTCACAAGCGTTGATAGACGAGTGGTCAACACACGGGCCCCGTAATCTCAACGTCCATGGTTCGGTTCCAGTCTGCTCCGTTTTATTATTTTTTTGTCAACTTGGTCAACATGGATTCATGATCAGGATTACTCAAAATTGAGTTTTCTTCTTTAACTTAATTTTACCTAGCCCCACGGAAGCCACTCAATTCTTCGCCAGGAAGCTTTCCTGACTTCGCATTTAAAGATTCGTCAAACTTTCTCCGGAAATTTCTATCAATTTTCCCCAAAAGTTGTGTTTAACATGGTTTTCGTACATATAAACTGCTTGGAATAAACTGCGGGAAGTCAAACTAGTTTTATGGGAATCGGGAAATGATAATTTTGGTAAATTGTCCGGGAGGGAATCACTAGATGGTGTGATTTCAAGACTGAGGAAGTAAGAATTTGGCCAAATGTTTTCAGGAGATTAATTTAGCTCAGGAAAATTAATACTCAATCTCACAAAATCGGTCAAAGAGGTTTCATATTTTGTTGCACTACATGCCTGAAATGAGGAAACTCTTTCGTGAAAAGCAACATTTTATTTACCAGCATTCATTAAGGAAGAGGGGTTCACATCTCTGAGAATATTTAGCTGGAAAATGTCAGAGTTAGAGTCAACTATCTCCAGAAGCGCTCGTTGTTTTCCCTGATACTCCTGCAAAAAGACATCAATAGACACGAGTTGAAAAAGGTTGAACAGGAACAGGTTGAATTTGCATCGTCTGGTGTTGTTGTGTTGATCGATATTTAACACAAAAGGAGCATTGTTGAATGCAGTCTTTTATTTAATTGTTCATCCCAGGTGCAAATAGGTTAGTTCTGGCCAACTTCATTGTAGATTCTATTCTGAAACTTATATGAAGTTTGTCAATGAGCGATCGTCGACCATTTTTTAATACTGGGATTGTCCAGAATCTACCTTTGGATTGACTGGATTATATGGAATCCCCCCTCAATATTGAGTGAAATTCTTCCTGTGATTGTCCGGAATCCTCCCTGGGATAGTTCATATTCCTTCTTTGGATTTTCCGAAGTTACCTTTGATATTGTTGGGAAACCGAACTGGGATTGTCTGAAATTCCCCCTAGGCTTGTTCGAAATCTCTACTGAGACTGTCATAAATCCCCTTTGCGATTGACTGGAACCCTCCTAGAGATTGTACAAAATCCCCCTGTAATAGAACGTCATCGGCATGGCAGTAAAGCAAGACAACTGGAACTGTTCCGTAAGGTCACCATAAATATCTTCCATCGATTTTGAGCGGACAGCTTGTAGTTCCTTTCATGCACGTGCAATTGCTCTTTCATTGCTGAAAGATCTTCCCAGTAAAGCATTGCAAGCGCACCGTTTAAAATGTTGTTGCTTTGCTTTGCTTGACAGTATCGGTTGCTATGTGTATTTTATGTTGAGCAACGCGAGTTACTCAGAGTTACTCAAAATTAACTCCGATTTTACTCATGATCAAAAGCTGTCTTGCCCCAAGGAGTCAGTGAATAATAACGTTGAAAATTCAGTAGAAACGATAAAATCACAATTTATCTTTGAATTTCATGCTACAACATAGAAATAACCACATAGGACGTTTTGACTAGTCAAGTTGTGCATCGGACACGTTACATTGGACGATTTTTCTCAATGACATAATCAATGAGTGTTACATTGGACCGTCTGTTCTACATGCTACTAGATTCCCTTTCACAGATTTCATAGTAGAGTACCTAACTTTAGATTTCCCCGCCTTTAGAAAATGAGTACCAATCATGTTAGGCAGTCTGAATGACCGAAGTAACAATCATGTACCCATCATTTCAAACTTTACATTGGACAATTTTTGAGCTAAGATTTTCTTAAATAAATAAAAGTAAATTTGGATGGGTGTTTTTGTATCACATACAATGACAGAAGAGCAATAGTTTGTATCACTTAACTCGATTTGAGTGACCAGAAAATTTTGTTGTCGACTGGCTGCGTCGAATAGTCGATGTATGCGCGGGTTTTGCCGGCGATGCACGGTGGGACTTTTACGTTTTGCATTATGCAAAATTCTAATTTGTGAACGGTGACAAATCAATTTTCAAAGCAGCAGTTCTAAAAATGTGCCTGAAGCACTTACATGTGTAACAATCTACTAGTTAAATTTGGTGTATCAAATTTGATGTGTCAAGCTCAGCTTTGCTCCATGATCAACAGCTCCAATTAATCTAGCTTACTTTCCATGACCCAACAGCGCTCCTGTCGATGCTGGACAATTCATCCACCATGACGATGTGGCTCAGCGATAACGACATCTCCTCGGTGCTGGGACACATCCTGCGGACGTACCACGAGGAGAAACACATTGTGGCAATCAATCAATTTAACAATGCACAAAGCTTTAACTGAGTAATGATAATTATAATAATAGGGTAAGGTGGGGCAAGATGGACAAGCTAGTACATTTATTAATTTTTATGTTCGTCAAAACCAACAGGTTGAATGCAAGCCCAATGGTGGTCCGAAGCAGCATTGGGGCAACATTGAGCCTCTTGATGTTGACATACAAACAAAAATCCCATCCTGCCCCATCCTACCAAATAGAGACAGAACAGAAACCAATTGCAATCTCCCTTACCTACAACAAGCAAATCAGCAAACCAAAACTGACAAGTAAAATGATAGCAGAGGATTACTTAATTGTTCCTGGATCAATTATTAGAGCAGAGTAGACTTATGGAATTGTTACAAAACCGAAAGAGCAGAATCAAAATTTGTTGATTTAACCGGAACAAAAAGAAGAAGCGATAACGGAACATAGAACCAAATTTAGAAACGTTGATTATCTCAGAATAATAATTCTTACCAGTCAGTCAGTAGTGAGCTAAAAGCAGCTTTCGATATTTGTAGGTACCTTTCCTTTTTCGATTCCGTAGTAGGAGTTTCATATCGCATTTCTGTCTTTCGAATCAGCGCATACTCTCTAACGTAGCGTGTAGGTCAGTAGGTTGTGCTACATTATCCCGGATGAGATTCTGCCTTCTTTTGATTGATGGCATTCGGGAAAGTGACATTCGGGACAACGTAGCACAATCCAATATTTAGTAGTGGCTGAATTTTCCATATCAAATTTCGCAATTCCTTTATCCGTAGCACAGAGGGCTTCTCACTTTGATTTGGCTCCTGTATAAACGCCTAGGTAGACACGGATAACAACCTACTGTTGCATTGTTAATTACACCGCGTGCCAATTACCTCTTAGTACGGGGATAGAACCGACCGAGGCGCTTTTTGCACAGACACAACACACCAACGCAATTTGAGACTTTCGAGCGAGCGAGAGCTAACCGAAACCATCTCAGTCGATACGATGTAGCATTAGTACGTACGGATATACAAACTACCCAGAAGCTATTGATTCAGTTCCAAAGCGAACGCCAAAGAAGTATTTTAACGCATAACAAAGCAAAAACAACTGATATTGTGATAGGATGTTCGGAGGAAATAATAAACGCAAAAAGTTATAAGAAACGACGATTTGTGCGCCCATTTTATTCGATCCGAAACTAGCGAACGACCTTGGTCGAGATGTCTTGGTAGGTTTTACACTTTTGCTGCACGGCCAACAATGCGTACGTTCCACGAAGTTTCGAAAGCATGATGATGCCCAGCTCCTCTTGCTGATGCGACGCAACCTTCGTCGCGAAATATTTGCTGATGTACAGGTAGATTTCCTTACTGCCTCTCGTTTCGTCTAGAACGGGGATAGTTCGCAGAGCAAGGTCACGTTGTACCGGATCCATGATGATTACTGTTTCAAGAGTTTGAAAGACGATTGCTTTTTAATAGGCCGCTGTGTTATCGACGTTAAGTAACGTTAGAAAACCACACATTTTTGTGGTTTTGGGCGCGACCATGGCTGTGATAATCTACTGACCATTTAAAAAGTGGTGACAACGAAACAAATTCATTATAAAAATTTCATTTTAATCAGAACAGCGTCAGTAAATAAAACCGTCAATGGAATACAAATAAATTAGTGTGTGTGTGTGTGTTGAGTGCCTCTAAGAGCATCATCATTGTTCATAAAACGAAAAAAAACGCCGAAAATTGTTCAGTCAGTTCAGTTTTCTACCGAGAAAAAAAATCAAGGAAATCCCTAAAATCTATAAAACTTACGATTAGAACAATTTCCCTATAGGGCCTTAACCTACTACCTTTTCTACAACACACGCGAAATGTACATGCTTCTTTTTCTGCAGTCTACAATGCTATTTTACATTCTTCTTTTTTTTTCTTTTTATACGAATGACCACACAATTGTCAATTCCTTCCAAACAGCCACCTCCTAGCTTCAGCTCTTGTGGCCGCCCTCCGCCGTGGATGATGGACTAGTGGAAAGCACACTACCGGAGGACGATTTTTCCAGCTCGTTGGTCATATTCGTCCGGACCGTCTTGAGGACGACGTTCGTCTTCTGGATTTGCTGCTTGATGTCGCGCTCGACCTGTTCCTTGCGCTTGTTGGACGATTTAATACTATCGTAGGCCAGTTCCAGGTGCCGACGGGTTTGCTTGTATCGACGCTTCAGTTCAGCAAAATCGGCTTCGATTTTTGCACAGTCGTGAATTGCCGATCTGCACTCACCGGTATCAATCGCTGACGCTGACGAGTTGAGCTCGGGTTTGGCTGAAAAAAAAATCCCATTATCATCCTACATCCCTACAATCAATTATTAAAATCAACTCACCTTCCTCTTTCGGATCCATCAGCAAGTTGCTCATGGACTTTGTCAGCTCCAGCGTTTTGAGCAGTGGCCTAGCCGGACTGGTCGCTTCGTCGCTGCCGACCGTAGTCAACTTTCTCGGAATGCTTTCCGGATTCGATAGTCTTCCGGCATCGCTCTCGATGCCGAGATCGGGAGACGAATTTCCCTGTCGCACGCCTTGATCGATCTTGGCTGCGTTGCGATTCGCCACCAGCACTTCCTCCGAAGTGTATCCAGAGGAACTGTTCAATCGCGTCGGAGGTGAGCGCTGACATTGTTGCAGTCTTGTTTGTGCTTCCACCAGTTTGGTATTGAGTTCGTTCTTCTCCGTCTTCACGGTCTCTAGGTCGAGGCGAACGTGCTCCAGCTCATCTTCCAGCAAGCGCTTTTCGTTCATCGCCTTGGTCCGCTCCAATGCTGCTTTGGAAGCCTGTAGAGTTGTTTCGTCCAACGTTTTACGCATCGCTTGGACCGATTTTTCCGCCTCCTTCATCTGCTGTTTCAATTTGGACTCAAGCTCCGACATGTTCACTAGATTGAGATGGGCATCCTCCAGCCGGAAGTGCACTTCTTCCAACTCTTTCATCTTTTCCTGGTAGATATTCTTGGAAATGTAGCTCTCCGTTAGACTAGCATCGAATGAAGCTTGCTTGGCTTTCAACTGATTGTTGAACGATTCGTTCAGATCTTGACGAAGATTCTCCAACCGCTGACGTTCCTGTGCCAGCAGAGAATCGATCTGGGCTTTGTGCTTCTGCTGGCTATCCTGATACTCCGTTCTTAAGCTCTCTTGCTTCATGACAGCCACTCGCAAATCTACATATGCCTGATCTCGGTCTTTCTTAAGCTTCTCAATGGACTCGTCCTTCTGTTGGATTTCCCTCTGCAACTCTTCCAGGCGCTTCTCGTTGTTCTTGATTTGACCAACTTGTTCGTTGTTGTCCTTCTCCAGCCGCTGATTCACATGGCGAGTGTTCTCCAACTCCACCTGTGTCCTGGATGCTTTCATCCTCTCTTCCTGCAGCTTGTTATCCAGATCCACCATTCGAGTCTGGATCTCCAGGATCTTGCTATCCTTCTCCTGAATGGCATCCTGCAGCTGCTTCAGCTGCTCCACACCCTGCTTCCGCAGATGTCCCACATTGCCTTCATTTTCGGACGTAGAGCTCAACTCTTGCAGCACTCCTCCCAAACCTCTGGATGCATTCTTCCCCTTACCACCGGAATTGGTCAACGACGATCGCTCCTCGAGTCCGATCCTAGCCAAAGAAACGTCCCGATCCGGTTCGGACCATGCTTCCGAATCCGATACCGGTTCGGTTATCAACGGAATCAACTTCCGTCGCGCTTCCGGGTGACCTTTCTTACCTCCAACGCGGCCCTCCAATTGACCACGCAGTTCGCGGTTCTCTGCCTTTAATCCTTCGATAACCTTTTCGGCGCTTCCTATCATCTGATCCTGCGCCCTGTTCTCCTTCTCCGCTTCCGCTTGCTCGACCAGTGAACAGTTGTCCGATACCTTCAAGAAACTACTCAAGCAACTCAAGTTTGCAAAGCTATTGTCCGGAAGCGAGAATCCAGTCACCGAAATGGACATATTCAAACTCCTCGAAAGGTCCAAGCTACGGTCCACCGCCTTGCGGATGGCCTTCCGACGGTCCATCGAGAGCGAGCCGCAGAACTCTTTGTTTCTGAGCAGCGAATCCAGGAAGCCGGCCAACTCTTCCAACCGGGCCGTCGAGATGGCACACAGATCGACACATTCCTTACGCCAGCGTTGGGCCTTTTCGGCCTCCTCCCGTGCCTGGATCACCTCCTCGTTGAGCTGCTTGATGATGATGTTTTCATTGCGGTCGTTCGAACTGCCGCCGCCTGTTAGCTTTTTGATCAGGCTGTCGTTCTTCGTCTGGATGGCTTTCAGCCGCAGGCACAGATTGTCATATTCGTCCTGCGATACGATTTGCTGGTTTTGATCGACGACGACCTGTTGGATCACAACCGATGATGATGGATGCGCTGCGGTGCCGGGATCTGAGATAGTCTGGAAATAGTTGGGGGGAAATTGCAGGCGGTTAGAATGCTACCTACTTAACAGTGTGTGATGGTGATACTAAATGGGGACCCGTGATTTGGATTAACAAATTGTGCGGCGCAGGCAAAATGATGGTGAGATTAGTCACTATATCTATATCTATAACGCGATCATGGGTCCTAGCGATAGACCTAAACTTTGCTATTTTTATAGCCGGAAACGGCTAGTGCGGTAGCAGCTAGGTCTGTAGGAATATACACTAGGGTGAGGCCTCCGATAGCCTAATCAGTAAAGATGGAAATTTTCTCGGCTTCCCTGGGTATGGAGAATCATTGTGCTTGCCTCTCAATATACACATTCATACATTGGTTGGCATAGAAAGCTCTCAATTACTAACTGTGGAAGTGTATCTAGAACACTAAGTTGAGAGCCGGCAAAACGAGCGCTACAGAAAGCGTACAAAGGATAGAAGAAATAAGAAGAGTCTACTTTCAAGCCTTGCCACCTTTCGATCTACAGCTTTCCCCCGAAGAGCGCGAGTAATACGTACCGCGTAAATCGAATTCGCGTAAATGGAGCACACGTAGCATATGGGATTTGACCTAAAGGGTGATACGGTCAAAATTTGGTCAATATCAACTTGACGTATTTCTTTCAATTTTGCATTTAAAAAACCTGAACACCCCTCATTTTGAAGGTGTGTGTGTGTAGAATGTTGCTCCTATTTTGATTTTGGAATTCACTCTTCAGTTGTCAAAATGCCGTCCAAGCAAGAAGAGCAGCGTATCAAAATTTTGCTCGCGCATCGCGAAAATCCGAGCTACTCGCACGCAAAGTTGGCAAAATCGCTAAAAGTTGCCAAATCAACCGTTACAAATGTAATTAAAGTGTTTGGGGAACGTTTGTCGACAGCCAGGAAGTCTGGATCGGGGGGAAATCGAAAACCGGAAGCCGCTGAGACGACAAAGAGAGTTGCCGGTAGTTTCAAGCGAAACCCTAACCTCTCTCTCCGAGATGCCGCAAATAAGCTGGGTGTATCGTCTACAACCGTGCATCGAGCCAAAAAACGAGCCGGACTATCGACTTACAAGAAGGTAGTGACTCCAAATCGCGATGATAAACAAAATACGACGGCCAAAGCGCGATCCCGGAGGCTGTACACGACGATGCTGACGAAGTTTGACTGCGTGGTAATGGACGACGAAACCTACGTCAAAGCCGACTACAAGCAGCTTCCGGGACAGGAGTTTTATACGGCAAAAGGAAGGGGAAAGGTAGCAGATGTTTTCAAGCACATGAAACTGTCAAAGTTCGCAAAGAAATATCTGGTTTGGCAAGCCATCTGTACCTGTGGTTTGAAAAGCAGCATTTTCATAGCTTCCGGGACTGTCAACCAAGAAATTCACGTGAAAGAGTGTTTGAATAAACGTCTGCTGCCTTTCCTGAAGAAACACGGTTGTTCCGTACTGTTTTGGCCGGATTTGGCATCTTGCCATTACGGTAAAAAGGCCATGGAGTGGTACGCCGCCAACAACGTGCAGGTGGTTCCCAAGGACAAGAACCCTCCCAACACGCCAGAGCTCCGCCCAATTGAGAAATACTGGGCTATTGTCAAGCGGAACCTAAAGAAGACCAAAAAACTACTAAGGGCGAGCAGCAGTTCAAGGCAAACTGGCTTTCTGCGGCGAAGAAAGTGGACAAGGTGGCTGTACAAAATCTGATGGCAGGGGTCAAGGGTAAGGCCCGGCAATTCGGATTTGGAAAAGCGGAAGCCTAACTGAATTTTTTTCCTGAATTTTATACTAATTGAACTTGAAAAAGAAATTTAATTTGATTTTTTAAATAAACGATTTCACCGATTTACACGCGTTTTCCCTTCACCAAATTTTGACCGTATCACCCTTTAATAGGGACCAACATGGAATATCTCGCGATCCTGGATATATAGAAGGTTACTGTCTTCGGCAAAGTTGTTCAGTGGATCAAGACTTAAAGGTTGGTGGAGTCCAGAATTCTCTCTTACTCTTGAAATCAAAGATGGCGGCTGCCGATTTCAGAAAAGTGGGAAATACTGGATATTTTAGGAATCGGGATGACTTCTAGAAACCAAAAATCGATGGCCAGCGCCATTTTGAAATCCAAGATGGTGGATTCCGGTTTCATAAAAAGTGGGAAAAACTGTAAAATACTCTACAATATGGATATATTCGCAACAAAGACGAGGTGCAGATGTCGAAAATTGAAATGCCGAAATGGCGTCAGCCATCAATTTTCCGTCTATTGTAGGGTATTTGACAGCTTAGATTCCAAAATTGCGTCGGACATCGATTTTGAGCCTTTACATATCGTCCCCATTCCGAAAATACCTATATTGTGGGGGTATTTAACATTACTATCCAGTTTATCTGTAACCAGGAGCTGCCATTTTGGAATTAAATATGGCATCGGACAGTAATAGCTAGTCCGTAGCTATCACCGCGAATCCCGAAATACCCACATTCATGGGTATTTGACAGTATTTCCAACTTTTTCTGTATCCTGTAGCCGCCATTTTGGATTTCATGACACTCATTTTCTATTTCTAGATGTCATTCTCTAGACGTCATTCCTATTCCAAAAATACTCATATTGAAGAGTAATTGACAGTATTTCTATCAGTTTTTCTGAAGTCAATGGCCGCCATCTTGCATTACAAAATGGCGTCAGACATAACTTGTAGGACTTGTTCCGAAAATACCCATATTGTAGGGTATTAAGCAATTTTTCCAAATCTGAGAGCCGCCATCTTGGATTTCAAAAATAATATCAGACATCGATTTTCGGCATCTAAACGCGTCCTGTACCGAGAATATTCATATCGTAGAATTTGACAGCTTTTCAGAAAACAACGGCCACCATCTTGGATTCCAAAATGGCGTCAGACATCAATTTGTGCGGGATGTACACGTCGAACCAGTCCCGAAAATATCCATATTATAGGGTATTTGAAAGTTTTTCTGAAGTCACTGGCCGTCTCTTGGATTTCAAAAATGGCGTCGGACATCGATTTTCGGCATCTACATGTCGTCCCCGTTCCGAAAATATCCATATAATAGAGGATTTGATAGTTTTTCTGAAGTCAATGGCCATCATGTTGGATGCAAAAATGGCGTCAGACGTCGATTTTCGGGATGTAGTACTTGTGTGTGTGTATGTGTGTGTGTGTATGTGTGTGTGTGTGTGTGTGTGTGTGTGTGTGTGTGTGTATGTGTGTGTGTGTGTGCATGTATGTGTGTGTGTGTGAGTGTGTGTGTGTGTGTGTGTGTGTGTGTGTGTGTGTGTGTGTGTGTGTGTGTGTGTGTGTGTGTGTGTGTGTGTATATTCAATCTAACCCCCACTGGCCGGCAGTGTTATTATGAAGGAACTCTCTCTACAATGTCGCATTTATGGTCATTGTAGACAGCTTTAGTCCTGGAGTTAGAAGGTAATAGCTCTATTGCAGATCCAGCAACCCATTTCAGAATGTCTGGAGACTCCCTTTCCCCATCCAAAAAATTGTAAATCTCCACTAACCTCGAGACGACCGCGAGTAATCGGTTCAATTCCTTTAACTCTAGATTTAAGACATTAATCATGTATAATGTAAATGATAACTCGGCTCTGTAAAGTTTATTCGATTGAGCCTGTACAAATAAATTAATATATAAAAAAAAAGAATGTCTGGAGAGTCACGCCCATTCCGAGGTTACTTTCCTTACAATAAGCCCCGCATGTATGCATCACCTGATCGAATGAAACCTCAGACCATTCAAAACAAAACACCGAAATCGCTTTTTCGAATGATAGCTGCAACCGGATGACGGTTGTTTTGAAGTCAGATGATTTTCCTCTCGAATACAGGATGAAACTTGTTACGAGAAGGTATAGGGCCTTCAGTTAAAATGCGTAATGCTCTCTGCAGAATGACTGTCATACTAAATGGAAATGCATATGGTATTGGTTCAGCCCCATAACGCAAATCATTCAAAACGATGATGTAAATAATTCTATCGAACGTCATTTGCTGATGTGAGCTGACAAACAAGGTGGAAGCATATGCATCGCTATCAGAGCTGTAACGAACATTAGTAAAGGATGAAAACCAATGTTTGGCTATTTCGTGGTGGAGGAGGTTTTCTCCACCACGAAAATTTTTGTATCCATAATGGAATGGCTTATTAAGGCTATTCAGTATGGAATTGTAGATAATCAAATTATAAATCTAATTTAAAGCACTTGCATGTCACACTATTCTTAAATGTTTGTTCTCTGAGTGCCGTATGTTTTATAGCTTATTTTCAAACGAAAATCATCCTGTATTTGAATGACAGTTATATGGATGTTCGTCATCTGACGACGAATTCAACCATAAGAAAATCATCCGAAATTCGAATGCGTATTGTTAAAGGGCTCGAGCAATGCAATAATCATTCGAAGTATTGCGGGTGTTTTCGTTCAGTGTACACGCTTCCAGGTTCGAAAATATTCCTTTCAAACCAGGTACGTATTTAGTTTATGTTTTTTTTTTTAAATTGTAAAATGTGTTTGGACTGGTCTCACCATGTTCACTTGATCCTCCAATCCATGCGTTCCATAGTTTTGATTTTCTCTAAGCTTTGCAGCTCATTTCGTGATGCACCTTTATCAAAATACTTCCTTCAATGAACACAAATTTTCTTGCATTGCCATGGTCATCTGGGAGGTGGTTCGCGGCCACCAGTCACCACCCGTCCAGTCTTGGGCGTATCCAGCGAGGCATCTTTCATATTGCTCGCAATCTCCGGAACCGGCGAGAGACCATCAGCCGAGCACTTTTGCAAGTGGAAAACTTGCTGAATCACGTCCAAAACTCGCGACGGACACATTATCAACACGTTCCCGGGCTAATTCACCAACCGGACCGGTTTCAAAATCGCCCACGGTGACGAATCTCTCAATAGAACAACACGCCGAAAGTGTGCCATCCGAACTCGAAGAATCGGGCTCCCGGGAGGCAATGAGAACCTACACCGAACAATAGAATTGAAGCTGCGTCCTAGATTCTGGAGGTTAGATTCAACGTCAACCGAGTCACTCAAGGCAACCACAGGCAAAACACGATACATCACTAAATGAAAACTTTATGAACACTTGAAGCTAAATTTCAGCACACAAATTAACAAATTTAAAACCAAAAAAATGTTTAATTCGCTGTCGAAAAATACACAGCAAAAGAAAAACAGGTCAGCTTTCAAGCGCAGCCTACTGTGTCATTCACCATGCAGCGCGTATATGAACTGAAATAACAAATTATCACTCGCGAAGCCACTAATTTTTGGTCCCGGAGAAAAAAAAATCAAACAACGCAGATTGCGACATCTCTTCTGATGCTTGCAAACATGATAAATCACGAATCCTGATGAATGTGGGCGTCTTAGTGGAATACCTGTATAATGAGAGAGAGAAGGATTAGTATTTTCCATTTAATTCCACTACTTTATTTGCTTATCCTTGACAGATACGCGTATTTCGTCTACAATGTGCAGACTTCTTCAGTGTCTTGTACTAATACTCGACTATCGACTATCGAGTATTAGTACAAGACACTGAAGAAGTCTGCACATTGTAGACGAAATACGCGTATCTGTCAAGGATAAGCAAATAAAGTAGTGGAATTAAATGGAAAATACTAATCCTTCTCTCTCTCATTATATTATGATAAATCACGTTTTCTTTCTCGATTCTAAAACTTCCCGGAAAGCGAGAAAACTACTAATCACACACGTATAGCCGTCCGGGAGGCAGAGCGCCAGTGCTAATCCGGCAAATGCAGCCGAAAACTATGAAAGCGAACGCACGCACAAAACAGAGACCAAACTTAAAACACAGCCGTATTCAAAGGCGTTCGAAACTCGAATCTCCGATTTTCGGGTTGTAGTAATTGTTCCGAAAATACCAAAATTTGATAGTTTTTCTGAATCTGAGAGCCACCATGTTGGATTACAAAATGGCGTCGGACATCGATTTTCGGTCTCTAGACGTCATCCCGATTCCGGAAATACCCATATTGGAGGGTATTTGGTAGTATTTCCCAGAGACGTTGATAGAGACGCGCAAAGAAAATTTCTGTCAAAACAGCAGCACAGTTTTTGAGGGATCTTTTGGCAATGTCGCTGGCAACCATGTTTCTTCGAGTGGCTTCAAATGACTTTCATACAGTGCCGCAATGCTACTGGGAAAATATGAACATTCGACGGAACTGAATAAAAATGAAGTTCGCGGCAACATTTTGCAAAAATAAAGCGAAGACGAGAGATGACAGTCATATTTTACTGTTTTGCTTGCAGCGCAATCATGTTTATTACCGTAAAACCAAATAAAACGTTCCGATTCGAAACTGTTTTTTTTTATCACTAATAAATGATGTATTTAATTGAATTAACAATAAATAAATAAACAAATAAATAAATAACAGATATAAAATATTTCGTGATAATAATTAAACACTTTTATCATTATTGAGAACAATACTCCTTTCTGGTGAATTGAGCGAATAGTAATGTTTATTTATTTTGCTCGTTTGGTTCAGCGTTTGACGGTTCGTTTGGTTCTTCTTGCTTCAGTCTATGCGTGTCTCTATTCAACGTCTCTGGTATTTCCCACTTTTTCTGAAATCGGCAGCCGCCATCTTTGATTTCTATGTGACGCTGGGCATCGATTTCCGGTCTCTAGACGTCATCTCGATTCCGAAAATATCCATATTGAAGGGTATTTGGCAGTATTTCCCACTTTTTCTGAAACCGGCAGCCGCCATTTTAGATTTCAATATGGTGCTGGACTTCGTTTTTTTGTCTCTAGACGTCATCACGATTCCGAAAATATACATATTCAAGGGTATTTGGCAGTATTTCCCACTTTTTCTGAAATCGGAAGCCGCCATCTTGAATTCCGAAAATATCCATATTCCATCCATATTGGTGTCTTGATCCACTGAACAACTTCGCCGAAGAAAGCAACTTCCTAGATGACAAGGATTTCACACAAACACAAAGATATGATATTTTTTTCAAGATATCACACAAACAAGGATATCACAAATGCATGCACACTAGCGCCGCGTAGTGAGGAAACCATTAGGTCTTGATCCACTGAACAACTTCGCCGAAGACAGTAACCTTCTATATGTCCAGGATCGCATGTTGGTCCCTATTAGGTCAAATCCCATATGCTACGTTTACTCCATTTACGCGATTCCCTCGCGTAAACGGAATCATTCGAGACCAACGTAAATGGAATTCGTGTGGACCGAGTTCGCGTTCTTCGGGGGAAGAGTGTACATATGTTGAGGTCCCCAACATCTGTGCCAAATTTAAACGAATTTAGTTGCGATCTGGATCAGCCAAGTGTGGGGGGTTGTGATCCACCTACAAACTTGACCCACCCCAATGTAGAGCTTGTTTAATGTCATCGATTCAAATCATTTATTTTCATAACATAATAGCCTACATAAGATGCATATTACAACTTAATGGATGCTTAATTTTTACTGTAAAAAAATGTTCAAAATGACCACCATCATCACAGCAACAAACCCCCCAGCGTAAATTCTACCAGCTCCGGAGCATTTCAAAATGTTGATGTTCCTCCAGCCGCTACAGAAGTGCACAGCAGCAAAGGTACACCCCTGTGCGTAAGAAACTTGGTCGACTCCGTCATTTGTCAATTCAGCCTTCAAAGTGAAGCAGTTGAAATCGCTGTAGTTACCCTCCAATAAGCCAGGATTGAACTCCCGTAAATGCCGATGCAGCTCGTTGACATTGGCTGCCGAACATGGTAGCAATATGCTATTCTTCTCGCAGTCTTCAAAACTTATGTCACTTCCGCATGTGGTACAGTTTAAGGCAAAAACTGTTGGAAAGAAGAGAACATTAACGAGGGTGGGTGATAGAACTTGCTAATGCTGACGCTTACCTGACTTAAGGGCAACACTTGCCAGGAGGATTTGAACTAAAATATGACGCATTTTCACTGCAATAGAGGAGTAAAAAACACACCCGACCGTTACCGCGTTACAATTGATAATGATAAACCCTTATCGATGGCACGATCAAACCGTTAAAGCCCTAGCGTGATTCCTGTTTGCACAGATAGTAATAAACTTGAAAAGAAGGATGTGAATTAGTGGCTCATAATTCTTCTCCTTCCTCGTGCCCGCTCTCGACTTGATGCACTTCAAAATCGATAATCGAGAACTGTTCAAGTCTGGGGCCCAACAGGAACAGTGTAACTAAGTCGAAGGCAGTGGGTTCGATTCCCCAATTCCAATTTGCAAATGCATTGGTTGACATAGAAAACTCTCAATTAATAACTGTGGAAGTGCTTCAAGACCGCGTCGTTAAGTTGAGAGCATACCTATGGGTTACTGGCCAATCGTGGCCAACACTACAAAAAAATATAAACTTTTTTTTTATTAGCTATGACATATAAAATAATCGAAACTCGTGGAATATAAAGTTTATGTGAGCTTTATAATCAATAAAAGTTTCTTTGTGTGTTTCAATTGATCATTCTATGTCAAATAAAAACCACACAATTGAAAAGTATATGTCAAATTTAATAGTTAAAATCCATAGCATTCCACACATACATCTGATAAGTATGGAAAATGAATAAAGAAATTCGAATCATAGCGGAAGCATAACGCTGAAATGGCGTCTGTTAATAGTTTGGAATCCGTCGTGATAAAGGAACTTGATTTACCACGAGAAGTCCTATCGATTTATAAAGCTCACATATTCTGCAATTAATTTGAAATCAAATAAATACTACTAACTCTTCTATTTAGAGCTAGGTTTTGATATGCTAGCTTTAATTCGCGTATCAAAAGACGAATTAACAAATGCGTTATTGACGAGCGAAAATATCTCTTGGACACCGTGGGAAGTCGATGAAATATTTGGACGTTTGGTTCGTTGGCGACAACAAAACGTAAGCTGAATTAAGATAGAATTGAATAGCTTTCAAGAGATTAATTCTTATAATTTCCTATAATTTACAGGGCTACGAGATAATAGATTTCACCAAAGTGGAAGTAGAAGAGTTCTGGATCGAAGAAGCAGGAGAAGAACAACACATACCAGTTGAAGAAAACGAAGAAGTATCCGCGGAGGAGAACAGTCAGGAAATTTCTCGGGAAAAACAAGTAGATTCCTGCTACACGAATACAGCAAAACCTCAGGCGCCTGTCGCTGTCACTGCTTAAAATCCTCAAGAACCCGGTAAGGAAAATAAGATCAAAGCAGTCAAGGACTCAAATCACATCAATTCAGTGAAATCAATCAATTCTCTCGTACCGCTGAACATCATTCCAAGAAGGGTTCTGGCCTCCGGATTTGACAATACCGTTTCTTCACGAACTGGATGTCTTCCAGCCGTGCTTGTAGACTGCTCATCAAAGAAAACTGATGCACAAATTTCCACCGACATCAGTTGTCCGCAACACAAAAATTTTTCAGTTTCCGTCGAAAGTTCTGCAACTGAAACCCATGAATGTCATCTCGATGATGTTGAAGTAAAATTAGCAATAGCCAACGGAAAGAAAACGGCCTCCGAGTTATCGGTGATTGAATGCTCAAATCACCATTTCACACCATCGATTCTATCACGACTGCTGGATTCCACGATCACCGGAAAACAAATCATAGAGAGAGGAAATCTGGGTCCATTGTCGACAGAAAGTCAGCGGGAACTGGTTTCAATCTTCGCTGATTACCACTACCAGAAGGGATTACAGGCATCCGAAAGAATTCTAGACGAATACGCTACATCAATCACAGCACTCTTTAAAAGTGGAAACCTACTTCATTGAACGAGGAGGAGCGAAGTAAAATCCAGGAGGTAAAATTTATAACCGGATCGTCAACAGCAAACAAAAAATAACTAAGCGGAAGTTGAAGGAGCAGCAACATTTGAGTGGCTCGAAAAAGAAAACAGACCCGATCTGTGCTGTGGATCCAGCTGCAACTGACGCGGTTTTATGGCTGGGACAAAATACAAAACCATGAGGAACAACCCTGGAAAAATGGATAGTATCGTTCCCTGCACGCAAATCACAGCTCATGAAGCCTGACCAGAGCGAGAAACTTTTCGAGGATTTTCATCATTATGGAGATGAGTTTGGATACCAGTTGGTAAGTTGGTATACTATAGGTGTACTATTGACCAATGCACGGAATGAACTCACGAAAACACATTGACGTTTGAGCGGTGCTGTGTTTACTAAAAAGAACACATCAAGAGCAAATTTTCATTATGTCGTAAGTAACATTCGCACCGATCCGAGAAAAATAAAGTTTTGTTTTGATGACCGAAAAGTTATTCCTATTTCCAATTAAACACATATAATCTCATAGTGATAGCAATGTTTAACATATTTAGCCGGGTTTTAATCATACAAAGGCAAATCGCTAGCTTTCATGCTAAGAAATACTGCTTTTTGAGTCAAAAGTTATTATACGTCGTTTGGTGGCCCCTATTGTTACTTAAGTCAAAGTGTATTTACCAGGATATTCTGGAGAATTATCAATTACGTCTCCTTACGTGCAGCCCATTCATCATTTTAGGACCACCGAAATCATCTTAGCTACAAACAGTTCGATTTATTCACTTTAATAATGAGAAAGCGAAACGACGAAAGTACACTTTTCACGGGTTTCTCAGTGCTGTTACTTAAGGCAAACGGCATATCGGGTGACTTAAGTAACATCGAAAACTATTTTGATCGGAAGGTGATTACGTCAAAAAGCAATTCGACTGGTAAATAAATTTAAAAATGGTATGTGATCCTATATTCGGACAGTATATAGTGTAATAGCAGGAGCATCGATTGACACTGATAGCTCCACTTTGTTTACCTTTGTTACATTCGACGTAATGAAAATTTGCTCTTGACATGATGTAATGCTCGCGTAACTTTAGAAAGGGGCCAATCAACTTTTATTAACAACTTCTTATGCCCTTTTCACGCGAACCAAAGAGCAGCCACGCAAACAAAGAGCTTTATCGGGAAGGGAAGAATTTACCCTCCCCGATGGTGTTGTTGGTTTGCGTGAGCGTACTTCGGTTCGCGCGAAAAGGGCTTAACAAGCATTGTGTACATCTCACTGCGTCCTAGCAAGAAGTACGGTCGACTTGTTTCGCGCTCCGTTGTTTTGGAGGTTTTCTCGGTATTCGCTTGATATAAATTATCAGTTTTTTTTCTCACTAAGTGACTCCTGGCATAGTTCCCGGTAAATTGATCGAAAAGTGAGTTTTTTTTAGTAGAAAGTGTCATTTTCGGAAAGAGTAATCCGTGCTATTGGAAATTCGCGAACCAATTTGGGCATCATCGTTGCGTGGTCACGCATACGCGCTTACGCATACCCGCGCACGTATCATCATCATCGAGTGTGAGCACCCGTTTCTACATCTACATCGTTCATCAATCATCGTGCGCCTGTGTGCGCTGAGCACCGAGCCTCGATCAAGTGCACCACAACGAAGGTCATCCACGCAGCGCGTCTCTTCCAGCCATCTGCGTAAACGCCTACACATATAACGCTCAGTGGTAGTAGTATAGAATTATCAGATAAGTTTTTGTTTTTTTGTTTCTTTTCCTCCCCCATTAGTTAAATTTTCATTTTGTATTTCTGTGTTTGTAGTGTTTTCTGTGTATTGTGTCTGTGCGTTCAGTGGGAGAGCGTTTTGCGCTCCCACTAGTTGAACAAAATGGATGTTTTGTCAAAAGACGACATGGATGACCATTCATCTAAGAAAAATGATGATGTCATCCATGGTTCGTCGTCTCAGTCTGACAATGGGCAGGCTGAGAAAAGCTCCAGATTGCGGGCCTACCCGAATGACTCGACTGGCCCATGGGTTGTCTATTTTCAGCCCAAAAACAAACCCTTGAATGTTGTTCAGATATCTGATGATCTGACAAAGCGATTCTCTGCCGTGACCGAAATAACGAAGGTTAGGCACAACAAACTTCGTGTGACCGTCGCTAACCTGAAACAGGCCAATGAAATTGCTGTTTCCCAGTTTTTCACACTGGAATATAGGGTGTACATTCCAGCCTCTGATGTGGAGATCTAAGGCGTGGTCACTGAGGCGAGCCTGAACCCCGAGATACTGGAGAAGCAAGCGGTTGGCCGATTCAAGAACCCCTTGCTTCCTCCGGTAAAGATACTGGCCGTTCATAAAATGAAGTCAGTATTGCTCAGCGAGGGTAAAAAGAGTTTTACCCCCACAGACTCGTTTCGGGTGACCTTTTCTGGATCTGCCCTTCCTCAATACATCGAGCTGGGAAAACTTCGTCTTCCTGTGCGGTTGTTTGTACCTCGGGTCATGAACTGCCAGAATTGTAAGCGGTTGGGACATACGGCCTCCCACTGCGGCAACAAGGCACGCTGCTCCACATGCGGGGAGAAGCATGAGGATGGCGCCTGCGCAGCTACTGCACCAAAATGCGTGTACTGCAACGGAACTCCTCCTCATGCTCTCTCGTCGTGCCCGGCGTACAAACAGCTCGGGGACAAAATGAAACGCTCCCTTAAGGAACGTTCCAGGCGGTCTTTTGCAGAAATGCTTAAGACAGCCACGCCATCGACCAATGACAAAAATCCCTTTTCTCTTTTGTCAGATGACGAGACTGACTCTGACTTGGCTGAGGAGGGAACTTCTTTCAGTTTTCCGGAAGGTTCTGCACGGAAACGAAAGCGCATCCGTTCGCGGATTGTTGCAAATAAAGAACCCCAAATCAGCTTGCCCAAATCAAGGAGTGGTGGAAAAAAGGAGACTTCTACCCCTCCTGGATTCCGCAGAACTGACTATACCCAGGATTTTCCACCTCTTCCGGGGACATCCAAAACCCCTGATGCCCCAATTTTAAGAACAGAAACCCCTTCTTCATCTGGGCTGTTCTCATTTGATGACATTGTGGACGGTATTCTCAAATACCTCAACATTTCTGATCCTCTGAAAAGCATTGTCCTCACATTGCTTCCTACTGTGAAATCCTTCTTGAAGCAATTGACTTCAAAATGGCCCCTTCTTGCAGCTATCATCTCCTTCGATGGATAATTTTCCAAACGAGGTCGGGGATTTGACCACTGTTCTACAGTGCAATTGTCGAAGTCTTATTCCGAAATTAGATTCGTTCAAGTATTTAGTCCATAACAATAATTGCGATGCATTTGCCCTCTGTGAAACATGGCTCTCTTCAGAAATTGATCTCCCTTTTTTTGATTTTAACATTATTCGATTGGATCGTGAGAATTCACGTGGAGGAGGGGTACTTTTGGGGATCAAAAAGTGCCATTCCTTCTATAGAGTGAATCTTCCCGAATTCCCCGGTATTGAAGTTGTCGCATGTCAGGCTACCATTAAAGGTAAGAGCCTTTGTATTGCTTCTGTATATATTGCTCCTAGAGTCTCTGTTAATCGCAAACAACTTTTCGACATATGTGCGGTACTTCCCGCTCCATGGTTGATCATGGGAGATTTTAACTCCCACGGTACAGGCTGGGGGGAGCTGTACGATGATAACCGTTCTACTTTGATTTATGATCTCTGCGTCAACTTCAACATGACAATACTTAACAATGGAGAAGTAACACGTTTGGCTGGTCCATCCTCGAATGGTAGCAGATTAGACCTCACCTTTTGCTCTAATTCACTATCGTTGTATTGCACTTGGCATGTAATCCAGGATCCGCACGGTAGTGATCATTTGCCGATCAAAATTTCGATTGCTAGTGGGTTCAACTCGTCAGAATCCGTTAACGTCGCGTATGATCTAACCCGTAACATCGATTGGACTAAGTTCCAATCCGCGATAGACGATACAGTATCGTCAGTGGAAGAGCTTCCGCCGTTGGAGGAATATAATTTCCTCTCTAATCTCATCATCGACAGCGCACTTCAAGCTCAAACACGACCGGTGCCGCGATCGTCTATTCGTAAGAAAACACCATCGCTCTGGTGGGATCAACAATGCACGGAGGTTTACCGTAAAAAGTCCGACGCGTTTAAACTTTTCCGGAAACGCGGAACACGCGAGCATTTCGACGCATACACATCTCTTGAACGCGAACTCAAGAGCCTCATCAAGGCCAAAAAACGGGGTTACTGGCGGCAGTTTGTAGACGGATTGTCGCGCGAAACGTCTATGAATACGCTTTGGAGTACGGCGCGAAGAATGCGTAACCGGTCTACTAACAACGAAAGCGAGGAATGCTCGGATCAATGGATTCTTAAATTTGCGCGAAAAGTGTGTCCGGATTCCGTGCCGTCGCAGTTGATTCCTCGCGAAACCGCGAATTCGGTAGACGACATCAGTCAGCCTTTTTCAATGGTGGAACTTTCACTCGCTCTCCTTTCGTGTCGCAATTCTGCCCCGGGATCTGATAGAATCAAGTTCAACTTGCTGAAAAACCTCCCAGACGTCGCTAAGAGGCGCATGTTGAACTTGTACAATCAGTTCTTGGAGCTCAATATTGTTCCCGACGATTGGAGACGAGTGAGGGTGATAGCCATTAAAAAGCCTGATAAACCCGCGTCGAATCACAATTCGTATCGGCCCATCGCGATGCTGTCGTGTATTCGGAAATTGATGGAGAAAATGATCCTTCTTCGCCTCGACAAATGGGTTGAGACGAACCACCTTCTTTCAGATACTCAATTTGGTTTCCGTAGGGGTAAGGGAACGAACGACTGTCTCGCGTTGCTTTCCTCGGAAATTCAGTTAGCTTTTGCTAAGAAAGAGCAAATGGCTTCTGTGTTCTTGGATATCAAGGGGGCTTTTGATTCAGTATCCGTTGAAGTTCTTTCAGAGAAACTCCACATTTGTGGATTGTCTCCATTAATGAATAATTTTTTGTACAATTTGCTGTCAGAAAAACATATGAGCTTTTCTCATGGAAACTCTACAGCTTTTCGATTTAGCTACATGGGTCTCCCCCAAGGCTCATGTTTAAGCCCCCTTTTGTACAATTTCTACGTTAGAGAAATTGATGTCTGTCTTAGTGACAATTGCACGTTGAGACAACTTGCAGATGACGGCGTAGTGTCTATCACAGGGCCAAAAGAGGTTGACCTGCAAGGACCCTTACAGGATACCTTGGACAATTTGTCTACTTGGGCTATTCAGCTAGGTATCGAATTCTCCACGGAGAAAACTGAGTTGGTCGTTTTTTCTAGGAAGCATAGCCCAGCACAACCGAAGCTTCAACTTTTGGGTAAACCGATCACTCATTCCTTGTCTTTTAAATATCTCGGGGTCTGGTTCGATTCCAAATGCACCTGGAGATCCCACATTGAGTATCTGAGACGAAAATGCCAACTAAGGATCAATTTCCTTCGATCAATTACCGGAACGTGGTGGGGAGCCCATCCACAAGATCTTCTGACGTTGTACCGGACAACGATTTTATCGGTTTTAGAGTACGGTAGTTTTTGCTTCCAGTCGGCAGCTAAAACGCACATCATCAAGCTGGAACGGATCCAGTATCGTTGTCTTCGTATCGCGTTAGGATGCATGCACTCGACTCATACTATGAGTCTCGAAGTGCTGGCGGGCATGTTGCCACTATCCGTCCGTTTTTCAGAGTTATCTTTGAGGCTCCTCACCCGTTGCGAAGTAATGAACCCACTGGTGATCGAAAACTTTGAGAAGCTTCTGGAGCTAAATCCTCAAACATGTTTTATGACGTTGTACTACCTATATTTAACACAGGATGTCAGCCCTTCAAGAAATATTCCCAATCGTGTAGTCTTCTCCGATTTCGGCAATTCAGTGAATTTTGATTTATCTATGACGCAGGAAATCCGCGGAATTCCAGAGCATCATCGTCCTTTGATTGCTCCGTCATTATACGCTGCAAAGTTCGGCCATGTTGATTCTGCAAGAACGTTTTTCACAGATGGATCTCTAATAGAGGAGTCCGCTGGTTTTGGTGTATTTAATGAATTTCATAGCGCCTCTCGAAAACTTGAAGCTCCGTGTTCTGTGTATGTGGCTGAACTGGCAGCAATTCACTACACTTTGGAAACTATTGCTTCACTTCTTCCAGACCACTACTTTATTTTTACGGATAGTCTCAGTTCTGTCGAGGCTATCCGTTCCATTAGGCCGGTAAAGCACTTCTCGTATTTTCTCTTGAAAATACGAGAACTGCTTAGTACTTTATCCGTGCGCTCTTTCATCATCACCTTCGCGTGGGTCCCTTCGCATTGCTCAATTTTGGGCAATGAGAAGGCGGATTCACTTGCGAAGGTGGGCGCTATGGAAGGCGACATTTATGATCGACAGATCGCCTATAGTGAATTTTTCTCTATTTATCGTCAGCAGTCGCTCGTTAGCTGGCAACATCAATGGAGTGAAGGGAGCTTGGGACGATGGCTACATTCAATTATCCCTAAGGTGTCGAAGTTTGCATGGTTCAAAGGGTTGGACTTGAGTCGAGACTTCATACGCGTGATGTCTCGTCTCATGTCCAATCACTATTGTCTAAACGCTCACTTGTTCCGTGTGGGGTTGGGAGACAGCAATCTCTGTGAATGTGGACAAGGTTACCAGGACGCTGATCACATCCTTTGGTCTTGTGCGGAGTATCGTGGAGTCAGATCACATTTTTATGATTCCCTTCGGGCTCGAGGTGGACAACCTAATGTTCCAGTTCGGGATATTTTGGCTAGACGCGATCTGGAGTTTATGAAACTCATATATGTTTACTTTAAGGATATTAACCTTAGATTGTAAGTTTGATTAACCGTGTGTTTAGTTTGTATTTTGTACGTGTGGGGTTTTTTTTCAATGTTTGTTTTCAAGATGAATAGAAATAATTTCATGCTTTAGGATTAAGTAAATAGTTGTATCGTAAACCACATTTAAAACCTCCTTCTTCCCTTTTCCCATCCAAAAAATTGTAAATCTCCACTAACCTCGAGACAACCGCGAGTACTCGGTCCAGTTCCTTTAACTTTAAATATAAGACAGTAATAATGTATAACGCAAAGGATAACTCGGCTCTGTAAAGTTTATTCGATTGAGCCTGTACAAATAAAGTAATTATATAAAAAAAAAAAGCATTGTGTACAGAAGTTGATGGGCCATTTTTAAATGTTACGTGAGCATTATCAATGTGTTCATTTTTAGTAAACACGGCACCGCTCAAACGTCAAATTTCTTCGTGCAGTTCATTCTGTGCATTGGTCAATTCGACAGTGAGCATGCAACAGGGCCTATACACGATGATCGATTCTCTTCGTCGATTTTCTCTTTTGTTAATAACTCGCTAGATTTAACGTTTCTCGGTGCGTTTGCTGTTGCTTTTGATAGCCAATACAACCTGTTACTTCCGCATTGAATAAATTGAGAAATCCAACTTAAACTCCTGCGCGCCTGGTGGCAGGAATAAGCACTAACCGACGGTGATAAGTCTGTGACAGCCCTTGAAAATTTCATTGATTGTTTGCAAAATTATTTAATTTCAATGTGATTTCATGAAAATTTCTTGTCAGCATGGATGAATCTTGTACAAAATGCATAAAACTATTTTGCAATGCATTGTTCTTAAATAAAAAGCTACTTCAAGACTTAAAAATTACTGAAAACATGTTAAGGTTTGAAATCATCTGCCGATTAAACAACAGACAAAGTTGGCCGACTAAATCAATCGACGAAAAACTATTAAATAGGCCGATTGCTCGGTGTAGCACCAGACGAAAAACGATTTAATCTGCTGATTAATACAGCGACTGAAATTAATTTTTAAGTGACAATAGATTTAGTCGGTGGACGATTCAGGTGATTTGGATGATGTTTGTTTATTTGGAAGATATTTTCGAAACACCAAGCACGATAAAATTCAGCATTATATACCATTATTACGAGTACTACTTTTTTGATCATGTTTTGACTTCCACAGAAACTCACTAGAATAAATAGAAAATAATAGTTTTTTAGTTGAAATTTCAAAAAATGTATTCAGTTTGACACATTATTTCGAACTTATCACCGCTGCGATTGCAGCGTCACGGTGGTCGATTGAAACATGGATTTGTCAATTCTAGAAAATTGTTTCGCTCAGCTGTAGCAATGCAAAGAGAAAATCGATGAAGAGAATCGATCACCGCGTATTCGCCCATATGCATGCTCACTGTCGAATTGTCCGCCTTTGAAAATCGGAATGAAAAATGATGCACTTGTGTGTTTTGATTACCTTTTGATGTTTTGTTAAAACTCAATTTACTCAAAGTAGATTTAAAATCGAGTTTAAAATTATACTCAACATGTCTAAACATGAATAAACCGAGCAAATGTTATTAACAACCAGGAAACTAGTGCTGAAAATTGAGTAGGGGAAATGGCTCTAATGTTGTCCTGTGGATCTAACATTGGGCCCATCGCTAAAAATCTGCTATTGATCAATTTTATCTAGATAAACGCGTCATTGGGACGGTACTAATGGATATATTTGGTTGCTATTCAAAATTTAGTCGATTGCTGAATTTATGTATGGGCCCAAATTAGGGACACTTAGGCCGACATTACATACATTTCCCCTATATGGTATTTTATTTATGCTGGTTGTCGAGTAATCTAATTTTATCAACTAGGTTAATCAATTCATTTCATTCAACGTTTATTTTCAGATTGACGAAGATTTTCGGTTGCTGGATGTAGGAAATGGTCAAGGTTTGAAGAAGTGGGAATCTGTTCTTCCAAAGATCATTCAGTACGTTGATAAACCGTATAAAGACGGTCTATCCAAGTCCATTTTAGAATTTTTTAAATCACCAAACCTGAACCAATGTAAGATGCATATTTATTATAAAAATGAATTTAAAGTTGACTCATTTCGTTTTAGGTGAACAAATTAGTGCAAACCTTCTGCTTTTAAACAACTTCCTGAGACCAACGAAGGTAACAAAAACCTTCAAGCCATCGATCTTGTCAGCACAAGAGGATATCATCTTGTTTGCAGACACTGATGAGCAGGCTTTGGAAAAAAATGATGAACTGAACTCGACTTACACCGAATTTGGATTTTCACCCATTGCACGTCTCTTATTCCGAGGTCAAAACATAAGGTCCTTGACTGGAGTATTCGAGGTGTACTACAAAGGAGTTACGTACAAGCTTGATACAGCGGCAAGAACAATTGACGTACTCGTTAAGCTAAATACCATTTTTGGATTGAAATACTCACGAATTTCCAGACTCGTATGGAATTTTATCTGCATATTTGTGTATGAGCTTCCTGTTCAAGAGCAGTACGAATCTATCAATAAGCTGAGAAGATACTTGTCGCCTGACTAAATATGATCACGTGTATGAATCCTGAATGCCCTGCTAGTTTTAAATCAGCGTACCTTTATTTCGATCATCTATTTGACATACATAGAGTTCCTACCTCACGAAAAAATATATGCTTCACATTATGCATGAAGGCAGCATTACAATTTTCTAACGATCTTCATAACGAACAGTTTTTCAACTGCCCTTTAGAAGGACAACTAGTACGGTGTGAACTGGAGTCAAAAGCTTATTTTAAATCGTTGCTATTGCCATTACCTTTTAACATGAATAGAAAAATTGAATGTGCTGACAAAATCGAATTCAAAGGAACCGAATTTAAAGTAGGAACTTTCATTACTAAAACAGAGATAGAAACCGTTAATTTGTATGAAATAGTAGATATGCTTATCATAGATACAACCGAGTTATTTGTAGTTGGACGACAATGGATAGTAGGGGAATTCGATGAGCACTTTTTGTCTTATAACGTAGTTGATGTTAGCAGTAAATATTTCATACTGAACTTGATAGATACTGACGGGCCACCGATAACGGTTTACAATGTGCAGAACAAGCAATTATTTAGGAAAAAAACGGATTTTGTAACTATGGATTTATAGCTTAAGAATAATTTCTAATAGTTGATAAATGATATTATAATAAATGTTGTTAGTAGTTTTTAAACCAATTACCTTTTTTCAAAAACCTAAAATATAATTATGCATTCAAAAGTGTGATGAATTAAATAAAAATAGCTGTATTTAATATTCATTTTATTTGTCCATACTTCTGATAACTGCATAATGTAGTTTTAATAATGATTTTTTTTTTAAATTAATGAAAGCGCATAAAATACGGATCCTACTATTACAGGTTAAAAATTTCATTCCTACAAACTTATAAAATTGAAGAGAATGTCGAATAAATATTAAACGTCTTATTTTTTCATATTAAAAGATAAATATTAAAGATTATGATTGGGAAAGTTAAAATGTATAAGTCATCACTTATAAAATTCATATTCAAAAAAAATCTTGATATTATGTGTCTGACACATACATGGTATTAGCGAGGTACTATTGCAAAAATCTATATCAGTTCACACATAAACCTTATATGGTTTATAATGAGAGAGAGAAGGATTAGTATTTTCCATTTAATTCCACTACTTTATTTGCTTATCCTTGACAGATACGCGTATTTCGTCTACAATGTGCAGACTTCTTCAGTGTCTTGTACTAATACTCGATAGTCGATAGTCGAGTATTAGTACAAGACACTGAAGAAGTCTGCACATTGTAGACGAAATACGCGTATCTGTCAAGGATAAGCAAATAAAGTAGTGGAATTAAATGGAAAATACTAATCCTTCTTTCTCTCATTATACAGGTATTCCACTAAGACGCCCACATACATCAGGACTTATATGGTTTATTTTTTCAGTGTAGTTTAAAATCAGAAATATGCAATCCTAAACTTGTATGGGAATGTGCTATATGTCACTTCAGAAATTGGCCTGTCGAAACCAAGTGAACCTATATTGAGTTCCTGGCCACTGTGGAACTCAAGCGAGTGAAAGAGCCGACATTTTAGCAAGGCTCGGATCACCTCAACCAGTGATGGCATAAACATTAGCAAATAGATTTTTTTTCCGCTCTCAGTATTGTTTTATTGTTACTTTGCTTTCTTTTACGATAAGGATTGCCGTTCTCACCATGGCATATTTGACCGATGAGGCAATGCACATAGATGTTAAATCTTTAGGTTAAAGCCTAGTATACAGATCGAAGCGAAACGAAAATTGAAGCACGCGAAAAATCATGAAATTTCGCTAGCTAAAAAGGTTGTGAAAAAATGTTTGTTGAACATTTTCCAGTTTCCTTTTTTCGCAGTTTACAGTTCTTGTGAATCGAAATCGATCAGTTTACACCTGGTCGAAAGAGGTAGTCTACCTAGGCCTAACATTAGACAGCAAGCTGATTTTCAGGGAGCACGTTGACAAAACCAAAACCAAATGCAACATCTTGATAAGATCATTGTATCCAGTTATCAACAGGAGGTCTACCCTGTCCTTGAAAAATAAGCTTGCTGTCTACAAATCATCCTTCCCGGAATAGAATACGGGATGCCAATCTGGAAGAGTTGCGCGAAAAGCCACCATCTCAAATTATAAAGGATCCAGAATAAGATCCTGAGGATGATTGTCAATAGTCCATCGCGGACTAGGAACTCTGAGGTCCACCGCCTGGCTGGTCTTCAGAAACTGATACGTCGAGTCACTTTTATCAAGCACCCCGAATGCCTCAAAATTTTTGTTAATATTTATGGATGTCCGGCACCAGAGGTCGTATTCCACCTGTACCGCAACAACGCTGGTGAAATTACCGAAATAACATTTAAGTTTGTCAAGTTGGGATGACTCTCCAATATCTGTAAAACCAGGCAACTTTTTTTTTGGTGTGATTGCTTTGATAAAAAAGAGCGCAAAATTTCATCTCTACCGAGGGGGCAGCAAAACACATACATCTTTGAGCGCAAATTGTTCGCCTTGTTTACGTTCGTGTTTTATCATAGAATTTGTGTGTGTAAATCTGGTTTTTAGTGTTCAAAATTGTGCGTAAACAATACTATTTTCGACAATCTCTCCGAAACGTGTGGAATATCGATAAATTTCGTGCTGTCGTTTGCTGTAATCAACACGTCATCCTCGCATCATTGAATCTCGACCCGTCTCCATTTTTTCACTGTGCAGCTCCGTCAAAGCAGAATAGACCAAAAACAATGCGGAGAATGTCAGCTCGTTATCAACGAGCTCGAGCCGCTGCGCTGTGGTTTTTGCGAAACATTTTACCACATCAGCCAGCAGTGTTGCGGTATTAATATCCGCAATCTGAAGGAACCATTATCAGCTGGAAAGATAGTCTTCGTTTGCAATTCCTGTCGTGGGGTTCTACAGGGCCGCTCTATCCGCTGTTTCATCGACGATCAGCAGCAACAACAAATGCAACCCCCCTCGCTTGCTTCGTTGCCAGATCAGGTTCGGCAACTGCATGATGCCGTGTCTGAGCTAAGTAAAAAAGTCGACAATTTCTCTGCTAAAGGGTGATACGGTCAAAATTTGGTCAATATCAACTTGACGTATTTCTTTCAATTTTGCATTTAAAAAACCTGAACACCCCTTATTTTGAAGGTGTGTGTGTGTAGAATGTTGCTCCTATTTTGATTTTGGAATTCACTCTTCAGTTGTCAAAATGCCGTCCAAGCAAGAAGAGCAGCGTATCAAAATTTTGCTCGCGCATCGCGAAAATCCGAGCTACTCGCACGCAAAGTTGGCAAAATCGCTAAAAGTTGCCAAATCAACCGTTACAAATGTAATTAAAGTGTTTGGGGAACGTTTGTCGACAGCCAGGAAGTCTGGATCGGGGGGAAATCGAAAACCGGAAGCCGCTGAGACGACAAAGAGAGTTGCCGGTAGTTTCAAGCGAAACCCTAACCTCTCTCTCCGAGATGCCGCAAATAAGCTGGGTGTATCGTCTACAACCGTGCATCGAGCCAAAAAACGAGCCGGACTATCGACTTACAAGAAGGTAGTGACTCCAAATCGCGATGATAAACAAAATACGACGGCCAAAGCGCGATCCCGGAGGCTGTACACGACGATGCTGACGAAGTTTGACTGCGTAGTAATGGACGACGAAACCTACGTCAAAGCCGACTACAAGCAGCTTCCGGGACAGGAGTTTTATACGGCAAAAGGAAGGGGAAAGGTAGCAGATGTTTTCAAGCACATGAAACTGTCAAAGTTCGCAAAGAAATATCTAGTTTGGCAAGCCATCTGTACCTGTGGCTTGAAAAGCAGCATTTTCATAGCTTCCGGGACTGTCAACCAAGAAATTTACGTGAAAGAGTGTTTGAATAAACGTCTGCTGCCTTTCCTGAAGAAACACGGTTGTTCCGTACTGTTTTGGCCGGATTTGGCATCTTGCCATTACGGTAAAAAGGCCATGGAGTGGTACGCCGCCAACAACGTGCAGGTGGTTCCCAAGGACAAGAACCCTCCCAACACGCCAGAGCTCCGCCCAATTGAGAAATACTGGGCTATTGTCAAGCGGAACCTAAAGAAGACCAAAAAAACTGCTAAGGGCGAGCAGCAGTTCAAGGCAAACTGGCTCTCTGCGGCGAAGAAGGTGGATAAGGTGGCTGTACAAAATCTGATGGCAGGGGTCAAGCGTAAGGCCCGGCAATTCGGATTTGGAAAAGCGGAAGCCTAACTGAATATTTTTTCTGAATTTTATACTAATTGAACTTGAAAAAGAAATTTAATTTGATTTTTTAAATAAACGATTTAACCGATTTACACGCGTTTTCCCTTGACCAAATTTTGACCGTATCACCCTTTAAGCCACAACGCAACCCGTCACTGAGTGCTACACCAGTTTGGCCCAAACCGGGTGCAAAACGCCGTCGTGAAGACCGACCTGATATTGACGTGCCAACCGTAAATGGAACGAAAACAATTGACTTGAGTGGTCTTTCGGTTCCCTCTATTGCTCCTAGTGCACCTCCGGAGAAATTCTGGCTATATCTTTCTCGCCTGAACCCGCTCATCACCGATCACGACGTGCAGAGTATTGTGTCGCGCTGCTTGAGCTTAACTGAACCTGTCGATGTGGTGCGTTTGGTTGTCAGAGGAAACGTCGTATCCAGTATGACATTTGTGTCATTCAAGATCGGTTTGGATCCTTGTTTGAAAGATGCTGCACTCGATCTGGATTACAGTTGACACCATCGCCACAACTTCATCGGATCCGGGACACCCTAAAACAGGCACTAAGGAAGCTCCCGAGCCCCCGACCCAGTCGCGCTTGCTGCTGACATCCACCATCGTCATCGTCTCGGTCCTGTGGTCGGTGGTGGTATCGGGGGCTTCCGGCCTGCAACTCCAGGCGAGTATAATTGCGATTTCGAACTTTCGGTACCTGATTTCCCTTCAACTTCCAGTTCGCGTAGTGGCATCTTGAGTGGTCTCCGGATTTACTACCAAAATGTGCGTGGGCTGCGGACTAAAATCGACCCGTTTTTCCTGGCTGTCTCGGAGGCTGAGTACGATTTGATTGTTCTGACAGAAACGTGGCTGGATGACCGGATTTACTCACCGCAGCTGTTTGGATCGCATTATTCCGTCTTCAGAACTGACCGCTCTCCCCTAAACAGTCAAAAATTGCGTGGTGGTGGGGTTCTGATCGCCGTCACAACGAAACTGACCAGCTAGGTAAGTACCTCGCCCATTTCAAGTCTGCTAGAGCAAATCTGGATTGTTGTGGATCTGCCAAGAACCAAGCTCAGTGTAGGCGCAGTCTACCTACCCCCCGACCGAAAAAACGACTGCACGATCATCCATGAGCACGTTAATTCGTTGGGCTCGATTTCGTCTCAATTGTGCCCCAATTCTCCCGCTTTCCTATTTGGCGACTACAACCAAGCTGGTTTACAGTGGCGTTTCTCTGACAGTGGCACACCATTCATTGATCCTCTGCTATCGCATATGCCGGTTGCTTGCTGTGAACTTCTGGACGGATTTAACATTCATGGGTTCACTCAGGCGAACATTTTTCCCAACC